TTCAACGGTTGATTGACAGTTAAAAGGTGGGACCAGAGCCGAAGTTCAACCCCCCACAAACACAACTAGGTGAGTACACACACACAACTAGGTGAGTACACACACACACAGTTGATTGTGTGTACAGCATAAAACACTTTTTTATCTCACATTTTTTACACGAAATATGTGACACATTCATATCATTACTCCACATACGTGAGACAAGTACTAGTGTGTGAGGCACCAACATTAGAACCCGCACCTCGTCGAGCACAAGAAACTGAGAGTTTAACATAACTATTATAAAAAAAAAACTTTAGATAAAGAATAAGTAAAGATAACTGATAACCACAGTGCAAGAGAACCAAAAGGGACCTGATCACAAATAAGATAACAAGACATCAACAAGAGGACAGAGAGAAACTCACGAGCACAGGTTGGGAAATTAGAGGAAATGAGAATAATCGGAAGAAAAGAAGAAAATTGGAAGGTCAGATTATTCAGCAGGACTTACGGATGTCCTTCTCCCGTGCAGAGACAGTGTGCTCGTGGACTTAGAGAACCAGTAAGTTAAACGTCCAAGATCGTTGTACTGGAAAATTAATATATACAAAAGTTGGGACCTAAGAAGCGAAGGTTATTTCCCGTATACACAAACAAGTAAAAAAAAAATACATACACACCCAATACGTATAATCTTATACGCAACCCGAAAAATATTTACCCAGCCACAAGCGTACACGGTAAGTTTGATGATGCATTTCGTCAATTTAAGAAGTTTGAGGAACTACCACAGTATGTTGAATTGCACGATATTTCAGCCAGATACCGAATCTCAGTCAGAAGCATAGCATCTTATGGATGTGTGCCTTGATCTCTTCAGTCTGATTCCTCTGTATCCTCCAGGCACCACTCCTGTGCCAGGTAAGTTACGGGCTCACCATAGTCCGTGCTACTTGGAACTTGTTCCGAGTAGCTGAATCTTTGACAGCAACAACTGTATTTCACCCGATACCGGATGTCAGATCCCCCGGCGTTACTGTATCCCATTTAGGATACAGCAATACTTATCCCATATGGCTGTATCTCGGCCATCCCGCCAAACACAGCGAAACTACGACGTTGGTACAACGTTCGAACGAGTTTTAACACTTCCTAACCAGTTACAACAACCAATATAGCAAGTTGTAACAACGTTCTAATACATCATAAACACGTTAAGCCAAGACGTAACAACTTTATTACAAGTTGTAACAAGCGGAAAATAGAGACAGTTTCGATTTGTGTTTCAGGGATATATATACCCAATATTCCAGAAAAGTACCACTAACGACCAAGTCAAGGATGTCGAATTCCGATCAGCTAACAACGTATACCCGTCAAGTCCGCACTATCCCTGCACTAATACATATACTCACAGACTAGCAACAAATTCCCACACAACAGAATCTCCCACGCAGACAACATCAATCATTACGCTCGTAACAAAACAGCAATCTTTACGCACCCGCCAACAACACTTACACCCGCCAAGGTAGCTAGGGACAACACACCCGCCACAAGCATCAACGTCTCTGCCGCCCTCCCAACACTTCCCGCCGACCGCTCGCCGTGTATCTGGGCGCCCTTGAAGTCTTCCTCCAGGGGTCCCAGGGATCAAGGTTACATCGGCCTGGTAGTCGCTCCGATACTTGGGTCGGTTTGTGCAGTGAGGGGGGAATGAGATGGGGTGATGGGTGGAAGGGGGTCGTGGGATGGAGGGAGGGGAGAGGAAGTGGAACGGGAAGGGTACATTGTCTTGTGCGTTGCTTAATAATAACAATTACAAATAGCCTGCTCGCTGCACAGAATAAAGGGTTTAGAGTCTTCTGTATAGATACCATCTCACGCATATATAACTCATCATGTTGACACAGACATTGCAGCCAAATTAGCATGAAACAAGGATGAATTTGAACTATATCTCGGTATCCCTATCACTGTTATTAAGACTACCAGAGATAGTCCAGACATCCAAACATTCAGGTCTGACAGGAGAGAAATTGCTGCCTCCCAAAGTCCTGAAAGTACCAGTACCTAACAATGATTTGTTTAGATCAGAACTATGGAGCGACACAGTGGTTGCCAGGATCGGGTTGGCTACCGTTACCTGTGGTAGGTGGCTACAGGTGACGAATCTCCTAATCCTGAGCACTCCCACGTTCAAACTCTGTGAGCAGGAACTGGGTCATGATCTCAAACATTACATTATTGAATGTCCAGTCATTAGATCCTTCAGACCTGCCGGTATGAGGCACCTGGGATATTACAATCACTTTATTATTCACTCTCGTCTTCTTGACAGCCTCATCTTGCATCCAAAGTTTGTCAGTGAAGGCTACTGATCGCACAGTCCTGTGAGATGGGGATAATTTTATTATGGCGTTGCTAGTGTTGACACGCACTATGTGACCCATATAGTCGAGGGTTGCTGTACACATATAGATGAATCTAAATATGTTAAAAATGTCTCATAAAAATATTACATTTTTTAACATAAATCTTTTTTAAGTTAAAAAAAACTACGCTAGCTTTTTTATTTTTTAGGTGCGTGTACGATTGCCATTTTGTCCTTTACGATTTCAGTCACTGTGTCACCTGTTAATGGCTCCTTCCCACCTTACTGTCCCTCACCGCCTCTCTCTCTCTCTCTCTCTCTCTCTCTCTCTCTCTCTCTCTCTCTCTCTCTCTCTCTCTCTCTCTCTCTCTCTCTCTCTCTCTCTCTCTCTCTCTCTCTCTCTCTCTCACTCTCTCTCTCTCACTCTCTCTCTCTCACTCACTCTCTTTCTCTCTCTCTTTCTCTCTCTCTCTCTCTCTCTCTCTCACTCTCTCTCTCTCTCTCTCTCTCTCTCTCTCTCTCTCTCTCTCTCTCTGCTCTACACAAGCCACTAAACTCACGCCTTATATGTCCTCATACCAGACCCTCATCGGAGGTGATAACTACTCCCGCCCCTCCCTCACACTCCCTCACACTCCCTCACCCATTCACCATAACAAATAGTGCGATGATTCTGCTCTCTGTTTTTATGGTTTTAATTTTTTCCCATTAAGGAAAAACACACAAGAAATGATTCAATGATAACTGTCAAATAATTAACACTTTTGTAGATATACATATAAACAGTTATCAATTTAAATAAGCTCAATGCCTACAAACTACTTATCAAATTTAAGTTTAATAAAGGTTAATAACATTCGATTATTGCTTCAGGTACAGAAGCAATAATTACTTACAAGCTAGAAGCTAGAAATAGGATGGATTTCTAGCTTCTGAAAATGTGCTTCTAATATCAATTTAAAAATAAAATGTACTGTTAGAAGCTGGTAAACGTCTCGTTGTTTAAGATACACAGTATTGACCTTCTGACCAGCTAAGGTCTATATACCCAAATTGAAATTAAAATATAAGGACAAATGTTAGAACTGCGTCGCTGCACTGGACTAAGAATATTTTAAGGCGGGGCCCGGAGCCAATGTTCAACCCTGCAAGCACATCTAGGTGAGAGAAAGGACTTTGTAACACACCACCAATACAGGTTCGGGGATGGTAAATATAATGCATCAACACTTCATATCTCTCTCCTCTCTACATCACCACTTCCAGCATTATCCTCACTTTAATAAGACTATCAAAATCCTCAGATTAGGCAAAATTGTAATTAATTTTGTCAATAAAGATGTTAATAATAATAATAATCACTTCACCACCACACCATCTCCCCTCTCCATCCACCCACCATCTGCCACGTCGACTAATCTCCCCTCGTTTCCCAACCACACCAACTCCAAGAACTGCAACAGACTCGGCACTTGAAGGGAATCCTAATCTTCCCTTCGCTGAGGCACCCTCGTCGAGTGCCTTGCAACCCTCTTATGTGGGGAGGGGTTAGAAGGAGGTTTGGCGGGGTTTGAAGGAGGGATTAGTGGAGGGTGTTGGTGTTGGGTTGGTGGCACCTCCTGCAGAGAGTCCGCCTCAACACAGAGAGGATCACAAGTCATTCAACTCAAGTATTTCCGTTTGTCCCGCTCCCTAAGTCTGGGGGACCCAACACACCGCCCAGGATAACGCTGTCAAGTTCACATATAACGAGCTGCAAATGACAAGTGTACAATTAATCAATAAAGAAAAGCAATAAAAAATGCCTAATTATTTAGAAATGGTAATAATGTGCTAATAACAGAAATAATAACTGAACAAATACTGATGTAATGTTTCAGGCGAAAGTGAAAAGTTAGAGTAAATATTCCCAAGAGTGATGAATCCTGCACACACACATCCCCAGCTATCAAAAGCAGTACGAGGAAAGGACAAAAGTCTTGAAACAAGCGCTAACTACTGAGGGGAGGTAAAGAAATTAAAGCGACATATGGTGTAGGTGTTCTGGCGGCATTCCCCGGGTCCCGACCTTTGACCTGACCCCCGGCAACCTGCAACTACTCCGGCCACACCGGACCCGGGGCCGAGCAAAAACAAAACAATGAATTCTTGTTTGTACGTCGACTTTGTGGTGCCGCAGGCGCGTATTTTTTGTTTGTTTTTGGTCTAATTCCCTAATTATGATTTATTTCATTTAAACGTGGGGTTACTGTGGGTATTGGACATGGGTTTGTGGCGTTGGGAACAGGGCCGGTTGGTAGGTAAGGGGTACTGGGACATGCGGAGGGTGTTGGGCACGGGCGGTTGGCGTTGGGGCACTGGAAATAAGTTGCTGGTACTGGGCACGAGTGGGTAGCGAGGGGAAGCTGGTGGACACGGGTGGGTAGAGTGGGGTAGTGGACACAGGTGAATAGCAAAGGATAATGGACACTCCACTACATATTCTTACATACGTAAAAATATGTACTGCTACATTCTTACAAAGCCACTACCGCGCCCAGCTGAAACACCGACATGAAGTGTGTACACCAAATCGAAACAATTATTTACATCTCAATATTCAACAACACGGTCAACTAAGAATATAAAACTGAAACAGTGACTTACTCAATATAGTAGGGGATGCCTTCCGGGGTGATGCCGCGCTCCCATCCTTTAGGAAGGTCTGAAATAGAAAATGGCATACAGTGAGCTAGGACACACTTAAGCAAATTCATTAACTTTATCGACCAATTTTTTTTTGTATCGTGGTGGAAATTATATTTTTAAAATAGGCAATAGACTGAAGTTAATGAATGTTTCAATTTCCCATTTTCATGTTTGCTATATCTAAAGTGATTATTTAATAATCAGTTATACACTGCACATATAAATCACATTAACGTGATGTATCAATCACGCAACCCGTTCTCGCAAATTCGTAAAGTCAATATTGACTTATTAACTACGTGCATAGGTGATATACTAAACATAATAGATACCCTTAAAAAGATTCATAGAAAACACCGACCTTACCTAACCTTGTTAGTATCTTAAGATAAGCATCTTATTGCTTCGTAATTACAATTATTACTTAACCTATACCTATTATAGGTTAGTTAATAATTGTAATTACGAAGCAATAAGATGCTTATGTTAACATACTAAGTAGGTTAGGTAAGGTTGGTGTTTTCTATGAATCTTTTTAAGGGTATCTATTATGTTAAGTATCAATCACGAGTCGTGGTGTATCAATGATTTTCTCATTGATGCATCACGTTAATGTGATTTATCTGTGCATTGAAAGAGCAAATGTTAGATGTAGAATTCCTGGACGATAGAGCAAGATTGCATGGGGCTGCTGGAATGCATTAGGAAGTGATGTGGTTGAGGCTGACTCCATACACAGTTTCAAGTGTAGATATGACAAGAACTCAGTAGGCTCAGGAACCTGTACACTAGTTGATTGACAGTTAAGAGGCGGGACCAAAGAGCCAGAGTTCAACCCCCGCAAGCACAAATTGGTGAGTACACACACACACACGCATATATATATATATATATATATATATATATATATATATATATATATATATATATATATATATATATATATATATATATATATATATAAAATGAAAACTCCTCACCCCTGAAGGATTCGAACCCAGACAGCCAGGGTTCCATGCACCTTAGCGTATCCATTACTACACTGCTAGACCACACTGACTGTAAAAAGGTTATTATACAAAGTTTTTTTTTTTTTTAAATACCGCGACCGCCAAAGATTCCAGTGGGTCCCGACCTTTTTCCTTTAGAGGAACACTTGAAATATTTCGTAAAATCTCAGGGAACTAACTGACATAGTAGGCTCGACAGGGAAACCCCTCCCTGACTGGCACATTAGGTTCAACAAGGGTAAATTACAAAGTTATTCATACTTAGAATAAAAAATTATAAGAGTATTTATTGCCTATATATATTTAATAGTGAATGTTAATAAGAAAATTACAAACATTTTCACCTTGGCTTACTGGTTACAAACATATTTTGTAATGATTTTGTTTTAATCCGCTACAAAATTCCCCCCCCCCCCCCTTCACCTCAATTAAACCTTTGCTGCTGAAAAAAGAGTCAACACGTAAATATCTATCCAAGCAAAACTTTCAAAATGTTTCATAGTTTTCTTAATAGGTCAAGTTAAAACATTAATAATTAAATTTTTTTTACCTAGTTCCCAAAAAAAAGGGGAGGCAAGTTGTATCATTTTTTCACGAGTGTTTGCAAATTCTCGCGGAACCCAGGTTGGGAGCCACTGCTGTAGACCTAAATAACATCACGGGATTTAACTTTATTTTTTTTTTAAATCATCGTGTGCACATATTATAAAAATGATAAAAGTATGCTTGTATAGCATACTACTACTAAATTAATATAAATAATATATTAATGTTAACATGTTTAGAAAAACAGGGAATATAATATGAATGATCGACACCGTCAATAACAAGAATGATGGAAACAGTCAACAATAAGAATGATGGAAACAGTCAACAATAAGAATGATGGAAACAGTTCACAATAAGAATGATGGAAACAGTCAACAATAAGAATGATGGAAACAGTCAGCAATAAGAATAATGGAAACAGTCAACAATAAGAATGATGGAAACAGTCAACAATAAGAATGATGGAAACAGTCAGCAATAAGAATGATGGAAACAGTCAGCAATAAGAATGATGGAAACAGTCAGCAATAAGAATGATGGAAACAGTCAGCAATAAGAATGATGGAAACAGTCAACAATAAGAATGATGGAAACAGTCAACAATAAGAATGATGGAAACAGTCAACAATAAGAATGATGGAAACAGTCAACAATAAGAATGATGGAAACAGTCAACAATAAGAATGATGGAAACAGTCAACAATAAGAATGATGGAAACAGTCAACAATAAGAATGATGGAAACAGTCAACAATAAGAATGATGGAAACAGTCAGCAATAAGAATGATGGAAACAGTCAACAATAAGAATGATGGAAACAGTCAACAATAAGAATGATGGAAACAGTCAACAATAAGAATGATGGAAACAGTCAGCAATAAGAATGATGGAAACAGTCAGCAATAAGAATGATGGAAACAGTCAGCAATAAGAATGATGGAAACAGTCAGCAATAAGAATGATGGAAACAGTCAGCAATAAGAATGGCTGAAACAGTCGATGCAGAAAACAAACATTAAATTGCCTCTTTAACATTTTTCCCCGACACGGTGCTTGTCATAAAGTTTAGAGTGAAGGCCACCTCGCTGTTACAGAAGTGTGCAGGCGTGTTCCCTCGCCAGACACACACACATGCAGAAAATATGGCTTTATTTTAATATTTTATTAGTTGACCTCAGCCATGGGTACACGCAGGTTGTCTCCTGCCTGCCTGCCACCAGACAGCCAGCTCTGCCTTGACCTGTTGCCAGGCCTGCCTTGACCTGTTGCCAGGCCTGCCTTGACCCATTGCCAGGCCTGCCTTGACCCGTTGCCAGGCCTGCCTTGACCCGTTGCCAGGCCTGCCTTGACCCGTTGCCAGGCCTGCCTTGACCCGTTGCCAGGCCTGCCTTGACCCGTTGCCAGGCCTGCCTTGACCCGTTGCCAGGCCTGCCTTGACCCGTTGCCAGGCCTGCCTTGACCTGTTGCCAGGCCTGCCTTGACCCGTTGCCAGGCCTGCCTTGACCCGTTGCCAGGCCTGCCTTGACCCGTTGCCAGGCCTGCCTTGACCCGTTGCCAGGCCTGCCTTGACCCGTTGCCAGGCCTGCCTTGACCCGTTGCCAGGCCTGCCTTGACCCGTTGCCAGGCCTGCCTTGACCCGTTGCCAGGCCTGCCTTGACCCGTTGCCAGGCCTGCCTTGACCCGTTGCCAGGCCTGCCTTAACTTGTTGCCCGACAAATGTCTCCAGCCCCCGAAGTAGCCTCACAGGTCAAGGCCTCTCAGCCCAGGAGCCAAATAACATTTACGCTTCCCAGTTCGAAGCGACGCCGCGCTCCCTGGACTCTATTCCCCCCTCTCCGTCTGCCTGTGGCTGGTGGTTCCTTTATACTTTATTTGTTCTGCTCTGCTGACTGACAACAACACGCCGCTTCCAAAGCTATGCAGATATATATTCCTCAAAGCACTCTGATGTTGAGGAACGCACTAAAATGTTGAAGAATGTACTCTGATGTTGAAGAACGCACTATGATGCTGAGCAACGCGCTCTGATGTTGATTAACTCACTCAGATGTTGAGGAACGCACTCTTCCGATTGGCGAGTATATTACTGTAGAAATGGCCAGCGCTGTTTAAGCGTGTCAGTCTATCCTAATAATAAGAAAAGCTGGCCCATCGCACTCATTTCAACCCCATTTGAGGAAGACTCGCGTGCACGACTCTCATTTCGCTAGGATTTTAGACTCCTCGAGGTCTGTACCAGAGAAATACAGCAAGCAAATTCGCAGTTTCATTGCGCCAGATTGCCAGTTAAAGGCATTAAATAAACTGACCAACAGAATACACCAGGTTCTGCAAAAGATGAATACTTCATGTATATACGACAGGTGAAAACGGAAGGAGGGGAGGAAGCTATCGGGTGAAAGCACCAGGCCATTACAACAATGTAACACTGGTAAGGGATCAGGATAAGGATTTGGGATGGGGCGGGGGGGGGGGGGGTAACAGTAACCAACCCTTTGGACGGTCGGGGGTTGAATACCGATCTGCATGAAGCAAGACTGTCGCTCTACCGTCCAGGATATATGTATGTACGGCAGGATATATGGCATATATATATACAGAGGATGAATATATATACACGGGATTACGGGAGGATATATACATATCCATCCCGTAATACAGGTATGTACTCACCTAGAGGTATTCACCTAGTTGTGTTTCCGGGGATTGAGCTCTGGCTCTTTGGCCCCGCCTCTCGCGGGACCAAGAGTACCATGTGTTGGTACTAGAGGGTATTCAAGTATACCCCATACACTACCATACAGCTTGTACAGCTATATCTTAGTGCCAAAGTTACGCAATGTTCTTAAGTTTACTTAACTCTGTTTCTGCTTTGTCTATTCTGTCATTTAAGTGAATACCTGCTTGATGGGGTTCTGGGAGTTCTTCTACTCCCCCCAAGCCCGGCCCGAGGCCAGGCTTGACTTGTGACAGCTTGGTCCACCAGGCTGTTGCTTGGAGCGACGACCAGCTCCAGGAATGTTGATTCCTTTTATTGATCTTGAGTCCCAGTATTCTGCCTACATCCGTATGCTGGATTGGGTGGTTGTCAAAGATAATGGAACCCAATTTCGTTTTGCAAAGTGTATTATTTGTTTGTTGGTACAGTACTTATTTTCCATTGCTTTTCAAAGGTGTTTATTATATTGGCGCTTTTGTTGTGTTGGCCAGTCACGTCACAGCCATTCATGACGCTAAAAAATATATATAACCCGGTGTTTAAGCGTTACCAGCTCCAGGGTAACGGGATGGAGGTACCAGGTCCAGGTTAACGGGATGGAGGTACCAGGTCCAGGGTAACGGGATGGAGGTACCAGGTCCAGGTTAACGGGATGGAGGTACCAGGTCCAGGGTAACGGGATGGAGGTACCAGGTCCAGGTTAACGGGATGGAGGTACCAGGTCCAGGTTAACGGGAT